GATAAAAGGATTATAAATATATATATAATCTAGTTACTTAACAGTTATGCAATAAGAATATATATATGATAACAGTCCATAAATAGTTCTCAGAATCTGATATACACTAGGATATAACATGAAGGTTTTGAATTTGATGACTAATAGGCTCTTGGGAATTTCAATGTTCCGTTTTTTCTAAATTATCAGTTGAATAATCTTCAACAAAGCTGTTATATCAGTATGGGGTTTTGGAGATTATATTAAATTTTTGATTGAGATCATGGACCGATTAATGTTAGACCACCATTGAAAACCTGGAAGTACTGTACGGTCGTTTAGTCTTATTAGATACTTTAGAATTTATGCATACAAACAAAATCTCCACAATCCCATACTGATAATTACCATATACTCACTACTGACTAGCTTTGTGACGGATTTCTCAGAGTTCTAATGAAAAGCCGTGACCAGTGGAGTTAATCCGTGTCGGCTAGAGATAAGTATCTACCTCAGTACAATGGAATATGGTCACGCAATTTCGTGAGCCGGCTGAGGTTACATATTAATACCGTTGGATGCCGCCTCAGTGATCTAGTGGGTTAAGCGTTCGTGCATGAAACTGAAGGCCTTAGATTTGAATCTCGCAAGCGGAATTATGGATGTGCAATGCCACGGAGTCTCACAATAGGACGAAATGGCTGTCTAGTGCTTCCAAATTTTTCAATGGTGGTCTAACATCAATCGGTCCATGATCTCAATCACAAACTAATATACACTGAAACTAATCCAGTTAGAATAGTGTAAACACATACATATACACACTTGATTGATTAGTTCACTATCATATTACTAATGTATTTGAATAAAATCAAATAAATTACTATTGTGAATGTAATTGTTCCATAATCTTCATCTTTATTAAAATGTATGTTTGTATATCAAATGTGAAGTATATTCCACTGATTAAGTTGTTGTTTATCAAATTACTCCTTTTTGTTATTATTTTAGTAACTATGGTAAAGTATAAAAGTAAAATTGAAACTATTTTAAACAAAAGTTATATGTGGTTTTATTTATTTCAGTAGAATGCTTTTTTTCAGATGTTCTTAACATTGAACGAAATGAATAATGTAACAGATAGATAGATAGATAGATAGGTAGATAGATAACCCTAATGGGTTGGTGTCTGATGAAATGTCTGCACGGATTCAGAAAGCTCGTCTGGCTTTTGCCAACTTACGTCACCTATGATGAAGGCTAGCTGTTCGTCTATTAATTAAGGGACGAGTATACTGCGCAGCAGTTCACGGCTGCGAAACGTGGCCATTAAGAGTAGTAGGTACTTGTAAGCTACTAGTATTTGACAACAGATGCATTAGAAATACTACTCGCATCTGCTGGGATCATCGGATAGATAATAGTGAGGTTAGATGGACAGTATTAGGTAATGATGGTAAATCAGTTGATGAGGTTGTGAATCGTCATCGACAGAGATGTTTGGGTCACCTGTTACGTATGCCTGAACAGCGAGTGCCACGACGCGCTATGCTGATTAGTGTTGGAAGAAAGTTAGGGATGGTCAAACCAAAATGTGACATCAGTACTTGAAGTCACTAACTTCTGGTCTGAGCCATGTTGGTAGATGCAGACTACTTGGTTGTGGTCCGTGTGACTATCGTAACCAATGGTTGGAAACTGCGTGTGACATGGCTGAGTATCGATCACAATGATGTAGGCGTATACACCCTTTGTCTTCCTTTAAACTATGAGGTTGAAATTACTTTATTTTTTCCCTGTATTACATTCTTATACACAATCTTTCTTTCACATATTGTCACCATCGAAGTGACTACTTCTAAAACTCCGTTGTTCATCTTGTTGTGCTAATGAGTTATGGCGATTTAAACCGATGCATATATGTATGCCTTGTCCTACATTCTAACTAACTGATTATGATCTTAATCTATCGAAAAGTAAAGGATCAATAATGTTTATTTTTTGTTCATATTTCGTGTATAAGTATATTATTTTCTGAAATTAAAACTTATTCTTTTGACTGGTAACCATATTGTACGATTGACTGCAGCCTATCATAGAAGTGATATTTAGCGTCTTCATTGTAGTCGTTGGTAGGCGCATAGCATTGGATGATGTTCATTGAAATGCCCTTTTTGTTTGTTTTGAACTAGGCTTTGATGATCCTTGGTCCATGAGATTCCCATCCTATAAGCGCACTTTGTGCTTGTTTTGACAGCATCAATACAACTCCTTATGTATGTGGGGCATGGCCGGAGTGTAAGAGCTCCCCTGATGCTAGTCGCTGTTGTCCGACGTGTTTCACTGATCCCAAGCACCTTTAGGTTGTATATATATGATTGTTTAGGATTAATGAAATAGATTATTCACAGGGTCTTTATGTGTTACGCCTACTGTAGGATTTAATCATTAGTTGTGCTAAAAACATCATTATAAACCTATCAATGTTGTAATCTATGTGTAGTGTCCGGTGGTTATCATTAAAATGAACGTTTTAAATATTTCCTACTCATAAGTCTGCTTTTGTTTGATTAATTTTTTGAAAAAAACTCAGACAAAATGACTTGGTATTGTTTGTTTGTATCTTTCTATTGATGGTTAGGACAACAATTGATAAGTCACATACACATTCAGACGCCCCATAATCGTAATGTTTCTCGACCTTAATGCAGCATTCGACTCTATTGATCGTGAGGTTCTATGGCAGTGTTTGTCACTGAAAGGAGTACCAAAGAAGTACATTGACTTTGTAAAGGCTCTCTACTCGAACACAACTGATGGAGTGAGAACTTATGGCGAACTGTCATCAGAATTGATTACCTCAAGGGCTGTCCACTCTCTCCATTCTTGTTTAACTTTGCCGTTGACGTGCTTTTGGAGACGACACTTTCCTCATCAAAATTTCCAGGGGTTGAACTTCTACCGGGAGATTCACTTGCTGACTTAGAATATGCTGACGACATAGTTCTATGTGGTGAAGACTGACAAAATGCAGTCTTCTGACCACTCTAAGCAACATATGTTTTACTTTATCATTTCTATTATGAATAAGGATCATACAAGATCATGGATCAATTGAAGTTAGATATTTACAGTGTTGGATGCTGGCTAGCTCAATGGTTTGAATGATAATAGTTCGTTCACGAGATCAGTTGTCCTGGATTAGAGTCCTGCCTGCGTGATCGTGGACATGTACTGACGAGAAGTCCTATAGTAGGACGAAACAACCATTTAGTTCTTATGGGTTTTTCCTTTTTTTCCTCATCCTGTTCGAATGCGTTTCTCATCAGGATTACTCCAACTATGTTCTACTCTTAGCTCGACTTTTCTTAAACTGCATTCTCAAGGGCCCAGACATTGGTACCATTCAAATATACATGAATTTCATTCAGCTGTTCAAACATAAAACCATGTCATCTATTAACAACTATAATTTCTAACAAATTACCCACATATACCTCTTTCCATGATACAGACCATATATATTACTTATTTCGTTATATTCTTAAACAGATTGAGAAATCTCTCACTGAACTGTGTCTCCCAACAATACACTTCCTCACTCACTCCCTTTCTCTCTCCTTATAGATAAACTCTCAGTATGTGCATAGAATCTATAAAATCAATATCGTCCACATATCTCCTACGGTAAACTGCATTCAATGGTTTGCTTTTAAACATTTAAAAAAATGACATTTTACGTCTGTTTTCTTTACTTACAATTCCTTTGTTATGTATACTTTACAAATGTACACAAAAAATAACTTTGATACTAATGCAATTCTCTCCTCCTCCTTGTACGACAATACTGGATTATGCTTGCTCATTATTTACGTATATACAAAACTATACATAAATATCTAGTTCCTCAATGTAATTGACGTTTGACTTGTTTCCACAATAAGGATTCAGTTGGTCAATGTTTATTGGATGGCACGCAGAGAACTATGAAACCAGGCAACTTGGTAGCCGGCACTCGTCAGAACAACATACCTGGTGATTTCAGGAAACCGGTCCATGTGATATTCGAACCCGCATTACTCAGATCTACAGTCAGAGTTATGACCACTGACTCCCGGTTGGACTGAGTGATGATAGATCTCATACTTATTTAATCCTTTCGTGTCGATGAACCTCATCGATTAAGTTTAAATGCGGTCACTAATCTAAGTGGCTCGACGCCATGTCCACTACGTTGGGATATTAGGGGACCAAAATTAGTTGGTAAAGAACCGAACACGAATTTTAACCTTAGGATTGATCACTAGTCTTTTACTTCATTAGGTTATTTTTCATAATCATAGACTTAAAGCTGTGATCCACAAGGCATTGGAGCGTCGTAAGGAGATGCAGTCCCATGGTAGCCGGTGACCAAAAATTGGTTCATACGCCATTTATTCCTTCAGGATACTGGAGTCCATGTGCATCATTGGTTTGGAATCACGGTTTTTCAACTCCCCTCCGTGTCCACCGACCCGGTTAAAGTACCGGACATTCACTTTTCGTCCTCTCAATTTCGAAAACAACACACCCACAACGAGAAGGCGGTGAGTAGGACTTCCCTAGCAGAAGCTTTATAGGCGTGGTCATGTGAGAGCGTCTCGAGAGGAAGAGCGAACTCTCCTCACTCTCGACCGTACCAGGGCATTTGGGGGTTGCTCCGAACCATGGACAGATCGCTTCAAATATTTATCCATCGTATAGTCAAGTTGCACAAATTACTTTCTCGATAAAATTGAAATTAAGTCTTTTGGCAATAAATATGATTTCCGCCTTTCTCACTGTTTTTAACTAATCTTCATGACTGAACCACAACTACTGGAAACACCTGATGCCTTAACAAGCTTTCAGCCAATTTACTTGACAAAATACACTGATTAAACAGTCAGTTATAATCAACGTTCAAGCAGTTAACAAACGTGTGCATCGGCCTACAATGCTATACCACAATATCAACCCACGAAATTAAGAGTAAACAAGTGTTCTAAAAATTATAAAGATTTATGTTTACAAAAGTGCACTAAAGTAATACAAAAACTACCGTACATTCTTTTCATCTCTGATTATGCCTGGCATTGAGAAGGGATGTAACAATGAATGTTTTGTGATAAAAACAAGCATAAGATAATGATAGAGAGGAAGCTCTTAAGAAATGCATTACAAACAGTCAAAGACAACAATTTAATGTGTTCTCTGATCTAGAGTTGTCATTAATTTTCATTCCGAACATCTTCAGAGCCTAATTTTTCTCAGTAATTATACTAAATATTTCAGAGAACACATCACCATCATTTCAGATAACAATGTACAGACGAACTTCTTTGTATTAACACTATAACAAGGAGAACAACCAGGATGACATAGGAACAAAAAAGGAACTGGAAAGTTGTAAAATCATACAGAATCGAGATTTTCAAAAAGGGTGGAAAATTGTGTGAATTGACAATGGGTTCAAGAAGATTTACGAGAATAGGAAGGATATTTAGAGAGAGAAATGCTAGATAATACACACAATTCAAGGACTATAAAGCAATAAATAACAGTAGCGACTGTAGATAGCACTTAGGTTGATCGAGATCCGTGGAACCTTTGTAAAATCCGTATATTATTTGAATAATAAGCATAAGTTAGAAATAAACCAACTACTCCAGTACCCCAGAGAATACAATCACGAATCGGATGAGATACAACTGACTTGTCGATAACTGAAGATTTTTCTGTATGATGATAAAATGATGAGTAAAGCATGAGTAGATTAATTCAAAGCATGTTAGATACTGACATTTTAATCTAATGAGTACATATACATTCTTCAATTAGATAGTAATAATTGAGCGATAAAGGTTTTTGGTTTTCAGCCACTAAGTCTTAGGTTCGAAATCCGTTCTACCTACTCTGACGATCAGAATATTATTCAAAACGAAGTAGACGAATCTGTACCTGGTTAAACGAGTTAAAAATTATTTATCAGTCCGTCAAGATTACCGGACTGAGTTCCTAAACATGGTAAAACTTTATGCCTTGATACATTGTTAGATATAGATAAGAAAGGAGCCAAAGGCTATTCTGCCACAGTTTTCGTTCACATTCTCCAAAACATGGAAGAATTCCTCTTAAGTGAAAGCTCTTCATGATGGCATTCTTATCCAAACTGTATCTCTTGTCACAAACTATCCTTGTTCGCCCATATAGTTTATTGATAAAAAGATTTCAGGATATGTAGATTTTATTATTAGGTATTAATTTAAAGGAAAATCTTGATATTTTTCTTATCCATACTTTTTCGATGACCCATGCTTTTACCACCTTCAGTTCGCTAAGTTTGTTGTGTTCCAATGTCGTTGAGTGATATCATGTATATAGGATGGTGTTCCAATTCGACGATAACTTCTGTTAGTAATATACAGATATCCTGAAATCTCATGCGAGGAAGTGCTGCACGCCAGACATGTCATACATCCTGTGTAACGAGATCTCACTATTCTCGTGTGTATTAGAAGACTCTTAATTGCTCGTAATTGAAAAATAACCGTAGACTAAAAATGAACATTACTTCAGCTACTTCTTAACAACGAATTGTCTTAACTGAAACATTTCTATTTTATTTAATGACTTAATGGAGGATGTTTTACGTTCTATTAAAATCTATTTAGTTGTATTGGTGAAGATCATTCCTGTCAACAAATAATCTGTTATTTCAATTTATTCTAAACTGATGTATTATATAGTCATAACACATAGATTCAGTTACCTTTCAAGGCATTTCATCATATAAAATGGTATAAAAATTATGACTGATATAGGACAATTAACAAGCAAAAACAATGGGATGAAAACTTGGCCAATGCAATGAGAAGATGAAGGTTTTATCAGAGTTATGTAATATCTTTGCGCAATACCTTTCAAACAATCTGATCTCCCATATACTCGTCAAGATCATACCCTGTTAATACTGGTTCATTATCCATCGTGATTTTCACATTGAGCACTTTAATGATTATCATCACCTTTATTCCCAATTACCTTTGCATTTGTCCAGTTAACTTTTCATCAGATTATTTGGTATGTATTGTACAAAATGTACCACATAAACACTGAGAACCGTCATCTATCTTAGTGTATGATTTAAATTTATCAAAAAGGGATATAGATCATACCTTTTCTAAAACATTTTGTATGTTTCTGAAAGTATTTCGATGAGATATTCTTAAAAAATCTCATTAGATTAGGACATTGTAATAGATGTGTGATTAAATGATGTGAACCTGATTGTAAACAAGTGGATGATAACGAGTTGTAGTCAATATCCCACCAATTAGAATCACCATGCTGTGATTCATACATTAATAAGGGCCACATAAATGCAAACACATAAGCGTCGACTGCAGTTGGTCTTTAATTATGTGGATAAGTGCAGGCACATATACACGAAAAGGCATCAGCGTATACGTAAGAGAGAGGAGAAAACAAATATCAACGTTAATATAATTAAGCGGGACAATAGAACAACATCTAACGTATATACTAAAACAGAGGACTGTTTATTTATCTCTACATAAATAGACATTCAGAGAAAATATGCTCAGTTTACAATGAGTTAAACATAACTGAACAAATATATTGAATGCTAAAAACGTTTCTAGAAGTAAACCAGGCTTGAAGTTGAAGAGTCCACACATTATTACTCGAGTTCATTCGACCAAAAGATCATTAACGACAACTTACAATAAAATGACTATCATGATGATTAATTTTCAATATTTACATGCATCCCAAAATGAGTCAAATTGTCCATAATTAAATACTGTACAATCCTAAAAAGAACCTGTTACCGAATATTCTTAATTTTAAAAATCATATTGAAAGTTGTTATCTTCAGATGGATAAAAGAAAATGCAACCAGTTTAAGGAGATGTTCGAGTATCAAGTTAGATTTTTCTTTGCATATCTTTAATTTGATGTTATCCGTTTAGAATTTAGCTATACCTTCAAGATCGATATCAAAGTGTTGATTTCCCTTTTATATAAGCCATTTACTATGAAACCACAATTTCCCTTGATGAACTTGACATCGGCTTGGAAATGTGATATAGTTCGATTGTCGAAAGTCTTACCATAAATGCTGGTCATATGATTTACTGAAGTAATAACATAAATCTTTATGGTAGATCACTGTAGTAAATCCGAGATCTGGTAACAGAAAACTGAGTTATTTGACAATCAAACAAATCGCCAGTAATCTTCGTTCGAAAATGCTGTAGCACGTTTGTACCGGGAACAGCCGTTTGAAGAACACCGGAAGCTTTTCTTCGTAATGTTATTATTACGAGATGAGTAATCCGACAACGAGCAATGGTTTGACCTGTAATTGTATATAACGACGAACTTAGGGAACCGTCAATGTGGCAGCTGATTGAATGAACACGAGATGCAGTATATGGAGCTGTTCATTATGAAATCGACAATCGATGTGACACGCAAACCATGTACGAGAATACTCAAGGTCAAGCTTAAAAGGCAATTTATAGTTGTCAATAACAATGATCGTACGAATCAAATTAAATTCTAAACATTGTGAATAATGACAAAAATAACTTAAAATTTAAGTCTACATATATATATATATATATATATATATATATATATATATATATATATATATATATATATATATATATATATATAACAAAATGAGTTCCATACTAGGATAAGACGGCCATCTAATGCTTCCAGGTTTCCAATGGTGATACAGCATTGATCTCAAAATGAACAAATATTTATACTACATCTCTTGTTCACTCAATTAGCTACCAATTTGACGGACCCCTAATATAATCGTTAAATACACAAGTCATAAATTTGCTTGTTATTATTGGATCAATGATGTTGTATTATCTTGGAAGAAACGCAAATCATCTCCCAGGAAGGTAAGTTGGACGGTTTGATAGGGTTTTTCTCGAACGCTTCGCCAGAACGTGAATCCCCAGCGTATGTTTACGTCAATTTAGTCGGTGGACCACAAACGTCAATGCAATTACCTAGCCTATTCGTGGATCGTGAGAGTAGCTTTATTCAAACAGCATGAAACTACCAGACCTCTGCTGCTTTTAATATAATAGACTTCGTTTACTTCTCGTTTTAAAAGCGGGTCTATATACAAGATACTTTTAATTTGCGACATAAAGTATCTTCCCAAGTAAATCTCCCAGGTAAGTAATATGTCTATTCAGATAGCTGGAATGGAGGGTTTTACGAAGAAATAATAAGTCACATTGTATCACTTGGAGGATTATGTGAGTACTACATGGTCAATAAATCACAACGTAGAACCTGGTATATGTGTATTGGTTCAGGTTGCCACATCCCATTACCATAGAGAGATGAAATTGTTAAGCCAAATCTCAAAATAGTAGAGGTAGTAACATTATCAGTGGTAGTTGAAAAGACTGGGTATCGAACATAGGACTCATGAAAATATAAATTATTGAAATAAGAACACAAAACGTTATAAGAAATTCAAGAGTTCAGAATTTGAGGGAAGACAAAGAATGGATATGCCTGCGGTATCGCAAATTATTTTGAGCAATGTCATTTGAAGTCTCTAAACATTGATTACGATAATAATCACACGGACCCCAACAAGGTGACCTGCAACATCCTAAATAACTAAGGTCAACAATCAATGACTTCATGGATGGATGTCAAGTTTGGTTGCCCCTAGCTTTCAATTCACTCCAACAGCAGATTTACAAATAAAATGTAATGACTGGGACAATTTCTTCGAATTATCAACTTACCGATCGCCGATAAAATATGTATTTTCACCCAAAATGTAAGCAAGTGATGTAATGCACAGTTTGGCCAGTGAATATAACTACAATTAGAAGACAAGAGAAATGTATCTTAACTTGAGACTCAAGTGATAAATACGAATCTATGTGATTAGACTACGATCTACATTCATGACGAAAAATGTGAAAATTACTAAAAATAAACTGGATTACATTAGAACCTACGACACCGTAATAGTAAATCAAAACAGTTAAACCAAATAACTGTTCAGTTAGTAACAGCGTAGAACATCGTACGCACGTACATCAGTTCCAGTTGCCACACCGCATTAGCACAAACATGCAGTTGTCGATTCAAATCCCGTAATGGTAGGTGGTAAGAATATAAGCAGTAATCAGAAATATTAGGGTTTGAAGATGTTATTCAATGAGTATAATCCAGTGAAATAAATTTGGAAAGAGAAAAAAAGAATGGGAGATGAACAATTCAGAATATTAGAATTTGGGAGAACACAAAGAGTGGATGCACTTGCGCCACTGCAGACGATTTTGAACCATGTCATTTAGGGTCTCTAACCATCGGTTGGAATGAGTCGATAGTTGTCCCTATCTTTAAAAAGGGTTCACGTCGTTCCTGTAACAACTATCGAGGGATAAGTCTACTTCCGATTGCGTTCAAGCTATTTGCATCCGTCATACTTCGTAGGTTGTTCAAAACCCCAGAAAGATTGACTCGCGAGGAGCAGGCTGGGTTTCGTTCTGGTCGAGGATGTATTGATCATATCTTCACCCTCCGCCAAATGTTAGAACACCGCCATACTTATCAAAGGCCAACAATCGTAGTGTTTCTTGACATCAGGGCTGCCTTCGATTCGTTAGACAGGACTGTTCTCTGGGATTGTCTAATGAAAAAGGGTGTGCCTGAGAAGTTTATTAACATCCTAAAAGCCCTATATAAAAACACCTCAGGCAGAGTGAGGGCATACAACCACCTCTCTCCATTGTTCCATTCGAGCAGTGGGGTTAGGCAGGGTTGCCCAATCTCACCATTCCTCTTCAACTTTGCCATCGATGACATTCTGGAAACAGCTCTGATGAATGTAAGTAATGGCGGTGTGGATCTGTTGCCTGAAGAAAGACTTCTCGACCTTGAGTATGCGGACGATATTGTCTTACTGTGAGATAATGCCCAAGGCATGCAATTCGCACTTAATCAGTTGGCAATCAATATCCGTAGGTACGGTATGTGCTTTGCACCTTCGAAGTGCAAGGTACTTCTACAAGACTGGCACGATTCTAATCCTGTACTCACTCTGGATGGGGAGCAGATACAAGTAGTCGAGAAGTTCGTGTATCTGGGTAGCTGCATAAATGCTGGTGGTGGCGTGAGTGATGAGATCAACGCACGTATAGAGAAAGCCAGAGCGGCTTATGCCAATCTGGGCCAGTGGCGATCCTGTTGTAACCTTATTTTACATTCTTCGTAAAAAGTGGTTGCTTCTTCCTTAACTGAAAGATTTCTTCTGATTGTATCTTTTCGTTCCCCCCATTATTATTACTATTACACTACCTTACACTGTTCGTTATTGTTATTTTACGCCCCTTACCTTTTTTTCTTTCTTTCTCTTTAAATTCTCATTGTTTTGTGTGGTGCATATATATTTGGTGCCCTCTTGTACCAATATTTATGTGTTCAAATAAATAAATAAAATAATAATACCATCGGTTGCTATTATCTCACGGTCCCCAGTCAGGTAGTTTACACCTACCAACATGGCTCAGTCCACTCGTCAGTGACTTCATGGACTTGTGCCATGTTTTGTTCTGGCCGCCACTACCTTTCTTCCAATCTACTCCTACATCATTGAACATCGCACGTCGAGGCAGTCGGTCGTTGGGCATACGTAACACGTGTCCCAACCATCTCAACTGATCAAGTTTCACTACTTCATCAATTGATTTGCCATCCTTATCTAGCACCCGTTTCATAACAACTGTGTTACTTACTCGGTGTTCCCAGGATATACGAGCAATGTTTCGAAGACACCTATGATCAAATACTAGTAACCTACGAATATTCTCTACTCTTACCGGTCATGTTTCACTGCTATGAAGTAGGACGGAACGAGCTGCTGCGCAGTAAACACGTCCTTTGGTTGATAAATGATATCGCCTACGCCATAAATGACGCAAGTTGGCAAAAGCTAGTCGAGCCTTCTGTATCCGTGCTGAGACTTCGTCACACACCAGATCACAAGGGCTGATGAGACTCCCCAGATAAGTGAACTGGTCGACACGTTCAACGACTTCACTCCCTAGCATTAGTTAGGGTGTCGATGAAACGCAATCCTGAAGTAACATTTTCCATTTTGAGGGAGGGAATCGTATCCCGGACATGCTTGCATTGTTGCTTAGAGTGGTCAGAAGACTCTGCATTTTGTCAGAGTCTTCACCACATAGAACTATGTCATCAGCAAGTGAATCTCCCGGTAGAAGTTCAATCCCTGGAAATTTAGATGAGGAAAGTGTCGTCTCCAAAAGCACGTCAACGACAAAGTTAAACAAGAATGGAGAGAGTGGACAGCCCTGACGAACACCACTTGAGGTAATCAATTCTGATGAAAGTCCGCCATAAGTTCTCACTCCATCAGTTGTGTTCGAGTAGAGAGCCTTTACAAAGTCAATGTACTTCTTTGGTACTCCTTTCAGTGACAAACACTGCCATAGAACCTCACGATCAACAGAGTCGAATGCTGCATTACGGTCGAGAAACATTACGATTATGGGGCGTCTGAATGTGTGTCTGTGTTCTAGAACCCGACATAGTGTGAATATCTGGTCTATACAACCACGTCCTGGTCGAAAACCAGCCTAATTTTCTCTAATCTGCTCTTCACAAGCTTTAGTTAGGCGTCGAAGTATTATTGAAGCTAATATTTTAGACATTGTATTAGTCAAACTGATTCCTCTGTGATTGTCACAAGAGGACTTTTCTCCTTTCTTATAGACTAGCACAATCAGTGATTGAGACCAGTCAGATGGGATTACGTCCCGTTCCCAAATTCTACCTAAGACTTCGGTTAATCTCATTGCTAATACTGGACCACCATCCTTAAAATTCTCAGGAGTAAAACTGTCAGGACCTGCTGCTCTCCCTCGTTTCAGGTTTCCTATGGCTTTTTCAACTTCGTAAAGGGACGGAGGACCTACATTAACTTGCCATTCAGGTTGACTGGAGATCGTGGGAAACCGAAGTGTGGCTGAAGGCTAGTTGAACTGATCCCTAGAGTGTTCTGCCCATCGATCCAATCTCCTCAATTGAGAATGTATAATATGTCCATCTTTCTCTGAGATTGTTTCGCTAACAGTTGGGTTCCTAATACCGGTTTCCTTAACAAGTCTGATCAGTTGTCTACTGTTACCTATGGCCGTTGCCTTTTCCATCTCTCTTCCTTTCTCTAACCACCACTGTTCGCGATCATTGCGTAGGCTTCTTGTCAGCTCGCTCTTAAGCTGACTCCACTCTTCGTTATGTTCAGAGCCAGATGGAATGAGCTTTCGAGCATCTATCAGTGTGGTAGATGCTGTTGAGATCCAGTGTTCTTCCCTAACCCTATGGTTTACCGTAATATCAGATATCACAGCTGTTTCCACAGCTTTCTGGATATCCTTCCACGCTCCCTCGCGGTGGGCATCACTTTCATGGCTGCCTAACTGTTTTTCTAGTTCCTGAATATATTCTTAGCTTGCCTATCATTAAGTAGGACCCTAAGGGTTTTGCTTGCAGCGTCTTTCCTACGTCCAGTAAGACGCAGACACATACACGCTCGCACTAGAGCATGATCTGAATTTAATCATGTGCTCCAGAATGAGCGACAGTCTTCCACCGAGCCCCTCCATCGGTGGCTGATAGCGATGTGATCTATTTGGGTCCAACGTTGGGACGAATTAGGGGGTCGACATGTTAAAGTGTTTTTCTTTATGTTTAAAGTTAGCATTTGCAAGAAAGAAGCGGTTATCTGAGCATAGCTGCAACCGACGGTCGCCACTATCTGTTCTTTGAACCACGACGCTATAAGATCCATCCAGATGTCTTTACCTTTCGCTTAGTTTACCTACTTGAGCATTAAAGTCACCAGCCACTATTATTACATCGGAGCGCCTAGCTTTTTGGAGGTCGGAAAGCTTTCTGTAAAACTCATCTTTTACATCATCTGAACTGCAGTCAGTGGGAGAATAGGCAGAGACGACGTAGAGGCATCGACAAGTGTCCCTATCTTCCCAAGTCCTTACTGTTCCGTTTAGTCGGACAGCGCACAAACGACTGTCTCCTGAAATCCAGTTTAAGAGAGCTAGTTCTGCCCTAGGAATTAATGCTATACCTACGCCGGCGAGGCCACGAGAAGCTATAAACGTACTGTTGTAATGTACACCAACGTTAATGACTTTGATATCACATACATCTACATAGATCTAGTAACAGATTTATCACAAGCCGAATTTCACTTTCTCACGTTATATCGTTAAGTATATATGAATCACAAATATGTTAGAAATGGTTCCGTAATATTCGTTTGGACACGATAAAATCAACTTAGAAAAACGACTGCAAGATAATGTGACCAATCAATCAGTATATGCCGTTTCCATATGATGTTACTAACAAAATGTCACAGATGAGTGGTGACAGCGAATACAATCTACTATTGAAATTTACTAGAAAAGTGAAGATCACATTGTTGTTTAAAAAACCTCTTACTGAGTGAATGATAATATTTACATAAACAACTTATTATAAATAATGAACCTAATTTGCCACTAACTCAAAATATGAAAATTGAGAAGTTAAACCAACGTCAAAAGAAGAACTTACATACTCGCCTATTTCTGAATCGGACATATTCTTAAGACAAATAACTAACTGAGAAGACTTTGCCTTATTTAATTTTTCGTTACGCCAGATATAAGGAATATATAACTGTTTTACAAGTCCAATTGATCCAAAATACATTTTTCTAGTGAAATTAGTATAAACAAAATCGTCACCCCATAGGAACCAATTAATAGCAGGAGCTAAACGACGTTCTATAGTTGAAATTAAAGCACACAACTGAACACCCTCAATGTCAGATAAGTCATATTCTAAGCCATAATTCTGTTAACGAAATAAATTGACACAAAAAATTTACATTCATTTTTATTGATTAAATCAAATGTAAGAATTATTATATTGTACCGTTGTTAGTTTTAAACAATAACAACCTACACGACCCCACACTGATAATTACCGAGTGCTCAGTAGTGACTGGCTTCGTGAGGTAATTCACGGGGTTCTGGTGAGAAGTTGTGATCAGTGGAGCTAACCCGCGTCAGGCATTTACCTCAACAATGGAAAATGGCCACGCAATATCGTGGATTGTTTGAAATTGAACATCAACACCGTCGGACGCCGACCGGTCCAGTGATCTAGAGATTAGGCGTTCGCGCGCGAAACTGAAGGCCCTGGGTTTGAATCACGCTTGCGGTTTTGTGGATGAGCACCGCTGAGGAGTCCCCTTACTACAACGAAACGGCCGTCCAGTGCTTCCAGGTTTTCAACGGGAGTCTGACATTTATCGATTCATGATCTTAATCAAAAACTTAACAATCTCCACAACGTCACACTGATAATAACTGTGAATATTTTAATATTGAAACATTTTGAGTACAATTTATCAACTGTCGGTAGTAAATTTACAGGTTTAATCTCGTTTTATAAATTATTTATTGGATAGTAAAAAATGATTATAAGTAACATTGAAAAATCTCTTTACATTTAACAATACTTGCTTGGAATTAGGTATTAACTGTCGGTAGTAGTATCGACTGAGCCTTATACATAAACGTATAGTATAAAGTCGAATACATAAAAATGTATTAGGTAAGACGATAAATAACAAAACAAATAAGCAATAAAAAATTGATCAAGAGAAATTGATCGCCTCGATCGAATACTCATAGTTTTCGGTTTAGTTTAACCAATAGTTAGAGAAGTTGAGTGACACGGATCAACATTAATAATAGCGTATTGCGGATTCATTCATTTCTCAAGTTTCTTTCTACCCTGAGTTTTAAATACGTCTTATATTTCTTTTTGTTAACGAGATATAGATTTGATACAAGCTTGTTCCATGTACGATTGTGTTGAAGCACGCGGATTGGCCATTTCGTAGACAACAAACGCTGTCGGATACTTAGAGAACACTAACATTTTTCTTATTGATTCCTGCTTCTATTCAGCACTTTATTTAGAATAAGAATTATATTCCTATTCAACCATGTTCTGACTTGGCGAAATGTCGAGTGAAGTTTCTGAAGAATACTAAGTAATAACAGTGGCTGAGTCCTCGTAGTTTATAACACATATTTGTACTTATTTCCTCAAATAACTCTATGTACATCCAAACTTTTTTATCACTGCTGAAGCTTTTGGTACTTCTTTTATCCTGGGATTTGTCTTGACGGTTTTATCTAGCTTTCTTCATGCAGCGTGTCAGTTTGAATTAATCCCTATTTGTGCCAGGTTTTAGGCTGTGTACGAATGGATGACTCAAGTTGCTAAACCACATCACTATAGGAAGATGTAATTAACTATATGAATATTAGGATAGTGATGTCAGTAGTAATAAGAGAAGCTAGATACAGAAAATATGATTTGAGATTAAGAAATATATTCGCGGAATAGTGTACAAAATAACTGTGAAAATCAAAATTAACAGGGAGACAAAGTAAATGCATCAATGACATCAAAGTTGATTTCGTTTTGTTATTTAAATTTATTAACTACTGATCATAAGTACTGTCCAAACCCTGAGCAGGTAGTTTGGACTTATATATACAGTTCAAACTCAAACCATCTTACCTAGTATATCAGGGAAGTGGATAGCTAGTTTCAGGGAACTTTCAATGAAATCTCATCAGTTTATATCGGCATTTTATCCCTTTCATTACTGCTGATCAGCAGTAATACTAGACTGTGTACTACACAATATTTCACTCTTTGAAAAACGGGTGAACAAAATAAGAAGTTGAATAAATTGTCAAAAGCAGTAGGCATATTTTATTGCAGATTGCCTGACTTTTTCGCAACCGTCAACTTTTTGACAATATAAAATTGTTAAATGGAGACATCACATACACTTATAACTGGTATTAACAGTCTAAAATACGCAATATAGTGAAGCAGGTTATACTCTGATTCTGTACTTATAACTTAGTGTAACGGACAAATCTATGGTTGACCGAGTTGAAAAAAGTTATTCACATGAATAAACCCATGACAGAAATAAACAAAAGAGTAATGCAAAACGTTTAGACATACGATTTAGGTGGTCAACTTCAAGGCTACTTCATGGTGAGCTTGAATTGTGATTTTCACTAGCCAGTCATTGATAAGACGTATGGAATCCAATGGTATGTCCTTACAAATATGTTGCGTCAACTAGTCTTTGCTCCATGTATTATATTCTAACATGAAATCTTTTATTTTTAAATATTACTATCATTTGAATAACCGCTTCTATAAAACTAATGTCCACCTCGTCCTATTGAGGTACCGCAACTTTAACCGATTCATAAATTTGCATGGTACTATGTTGCAGATGACTGACAATTTCGACAATATGGTAACTCTACACTACCAAATAAGCTTCAAACAATAGTTGAAGATCTACATAACACTTCAGACCTCAATAAACAGTAGCAATCCTTGCATACATTTGTTTTTAGTTTGATTTGAAACTTCGGAGTGAAAACAAACAAATGGACAGTATCAGGCTACCGAGCTAATGCGACATTCGATAACTATCAATCTAAACTACATAAGGAAAGCGAGAACATTTAGAGTAAAAAGACAAGAAACCCACTTCTTTCCTCAAATACGTTAGGACAATTGGGATTCTGTGATAATCCTTATTATCATGACTGAGAACTGGGAAGCTCTCAACAGTAAACTGATCAGGTACCTTCATCTTTATGTTCATACGTGCTCCTTTTAACCTGATGTAGCACTGCAGCTATTATTAAATGACTTCAGAAGACTCACAAATATTAGCAAGCACTCAGGATCACAAGGCAGGCATTCATCTGGAGCAGACAAAATCGTCAAATCCATCACGCGGGCTATTTCGAATCTACCTGACGAAGTGACCTTGTGTCTCAAAGACCAAGAAGATATTCAAATGGTTCAAATGGTTGTGGACGGAATAGAAGAAGCTTTTGCTTAACAGGCTTCCTTGTCTAGTAGCAGGGGACCACCAAATCCTCCAGACAGGAACCTAGGTATGTTAACAATAAAAGAGGAAAAGAAATTGGTAAATCATAGTGTGATGCTGCCCTTGGTCCTTAAGAATAGGTCAAGTTGCCTCTTGAAGGACTCCTGAGAAGTCGCTTGGACTAGCTCGGCCGGCAGTGAATTCCAGCTTTTGACAACTCCTAAGGAGTAGAAGTTGTGTCTACATTCCGTCTTGCTATGTTGTGTTTCCAGTTTCTGGGTGTTACCCCTTAGATTATTATTCGAACTAAGCTGAAGTAGGTGTTTAAGAGGATATCCAGAAGTGTTAAGAATACTATAAGCCATTAATAAATCACCTCTAAGACGCCTATATTCTAATGGGTAAAGGTCTAGTGAACGGAGGCGTTCTTCGTAAGGCTTAGATTTGAGTCCTCGAACTGATTTCGTGGCTCGCCGTTGGATACGCTCCAAAGTGACCTTGTCCTTTTGGAGTGAGGGGGGAGTACTATGTTTCCGTACTCTAAATGGGGACGGATGAAACTATTGAAGATTATATGGAAAGTTCTTCCGTCAAACTGGCCAAAAATGCGCCTCAACGTTACCAGTGCAAGGTTTGCTCGGAAGGCATTTTTGTCACAGTTAGCGTAAGACTTTAAATCATGGGGCGCCAGGACTCCTAAATCTTTTTCGACTTGGGATACTACTAGAGAGGAGTTTCCTAAGTTGTAACTGTAGTTTGCAACATGTCGCAGATGGACTTGTAGTGACTCACATTTATCACGAGAACACGACTGGTTTAATAAAAACAATTATTATTATAACCAGTTGTACCAGTGTTTGTTTTAACGTGCTTTTGTTTGACTGTGCTAATGACAGCTATTTTGTGCTTCCATTCTTTTACACACACTTCGATTGTAACTTCGCGCGAATTCGGTTACGTTCTGTAACCAAGCTTGTATCCTGGCACGATCTCGGTATCCTTTCGATGCCACGAGATCGCCAGCAAATAAACCTCGACTTGGCCCATTAATTGCCTTCTGGTATTCGGCTTCTCGGGGATTTTATGGAGTCATTTGGAACGAGCTTCTTACGCCTTCTGATCTATTTGGCACGTGTTTCTTGGTAGCGGTGTTCATAGTTAATCTCAACTCGACGCCACGCTACAATTGGTAATCCCAATTGACTACAGACTACTTTACACTTTGAAGTGTTAAAGGTAAGTCCGTTGTCATCTGCCCAACTTTGAAGTCGAGTCAGATCCTCCTGAAGTGCCTGTATACCGTCTTGGTTGCGTATTTCTCTCCAAAGTTTCACGTCGTCGGCAAAAAGTAATAAGTCTGACGTTACCTGTTGAGGAAGATCATTTATGTAGATCAAGAAGAGAAGAGGCCCTAGTACTGAGCCCTGGGGGACCCCACTAGGACATTCCATATCCTGAGATAAAGTGAAATTAACCCTAACCTTAAAGTGTCGATTTTTTAGGTATGAAGTAAACCAATCGATTAGAGGTGGTTTGATACCTAGTCGTTTGAGCTTGTTGATAAGACACAAGTGGTTAACCTTATCAAAAGCTTTTGAGAAATCAAGGTAAATGACATCAACCTTTCCCTTGCAATCGAGTATGCTTGTCCATCTGTCCACCGCAGTCAGCAGGTTAGTTATATACAAGAGTAACCCTTCCTGAAACCATGCTGTTGGGGTGAGAAGAAATTTAAGGACAGTAGATAGTCATTTAAACCGTCGCGTATCAGGGACTCCATGAGTTTTGAAGGTAATGACAGAAGAGCCACCGGCCGATAACTTGAAGGTTCATTGCGTCGACCACCTTTGAAAATTGGTGTGGTGTGAGCCAACTTCCAATTTTCCGGTAATTTGCCTCGGCTAAGCGAGTGAGAAAACATCACGCTAAGCGGCGTTGCCAGGATTGAGGCTGCCTCCCTCAGTATGGCAGGATGAACCGTATCCGGGCCAGGAGAAGTGTCTAGTCTTAAGTGCTGCAATTTCCGGAACACCAAGTGAGCGCTTAGGTCCACTTCAGAAAGTCCTGTGGAACTTCAGGTGAAACTGTCGTCAATAAAGTTGATGTCAGCCGGTTGAAATGTTTGAGAATAATGTGCCGCCAGAAGGTTAGCGGCGTCGCCATCGTTGTTGGTCGGGCCGTTAAGACCTAGCAGTTGAGAAACTCCTGTTTTGGCTTGACGAAGAGAGGCTGCATAACGGAATAGGCTTCTAGGGTTAGAGGCGAATTTGTCCATAAGCTTTGTTTGGTACTGAAGCCTGTCTTCTCTTATAGCCTTCGTGCATATGTTCCTGATATGTTTATATTGCCTATACGCTCCATCGTTATTAGTTCATTTGTATTCCGCCCAACAGTGCCTTTTGCGGCTTAGCAGGCGAAGGGTACGGTTCTTGATTACTGTAGGTGGCTTACAGCTTTTGTGAACCGTTTGAGGAACTGAATGGTCTGTAGCACATAAGAGCGTGTGCAGTAAGAAGTCCCAATGACCATCCACATCGAGTTGAGGGTGAACATCCCAAACCACCTGTTGTAGATAGTCATGTAGAGCTAGCACATTCAGCCGTTTAAAATTCCAACGCAAATTATTGTTGGGATACCTTAGCTTAGTTTTGATGACAAAACTGAAGGCTATGACGGCATGATCGCTTTTTCCCAGGGGAGCCAGGATTGAGAGGTTGTCGACTAGGAATTCTTCGTTAGTGAATACACAGTCTAAGCGCGATGGTGTCTGACTGTTTCTCTAACGAGTTGCTGACCTCACATTTTCATATAAGCCCAAGTTATCGATGAGGTTGAAGAACCGAGCTTCAATTGAGTTGTCACCTCCAGTATACGTGTGTTCCGCGAAGTTGACTCTAGGGAGATTAAAGTCCCCTAGAATCAGGATGTGTGTGAAACCGAGACGGATAGAGCGGGATAGTCCTTCCAGCATACGACTATCGTACTCGGTGTCGGCAGTTGGCTTCCTGTAAATGACTCCGATTAGAGACCTCGAAGTACTAGACAGTCTTACCGAGCACCATATGGATTCCTCAAGATTGTTAAACTCGAGGTTGTGAACTTGGTGCTCCTCCAAGCAAGAGCTTATATATATGGCTACTCCGCCCCCAATTCCTGTTTTTCTGTCGTTGCGGAACAAAGTCATCCCAGGTAATGCTAACTCTTGGTCCGAGAACTGAGAAGATATCCAGGTTTCAGATATTCCTATCAGATGGGCCTTATTAGCGTTGCTAAGTTCACGTAGTTCATCCAGTTTGTTTGGTAGACTCGCGGCGTTCATATATAAGCAGTTTATGCTTTCAATTTGGAACGCGTGAGCTTCGTCCTGTTTTTCTGTATGAACCTTGTGTGAATGGACAGGTAGCCCACCTATATGAGGTTTGCCGAGGTGGTAGGCCCTGTCCTTTACACGTTTTTTTATCATTTAGACAGTCCACAAGTGGAATGGTCAGCTCCAACTTGCCTTTGTTCTTGGTCCTATCTTCGTATGGCCTATCCGGGTGCATGTGGATTCCAGGTGGCAATCGACGTCTATTGGCACGAAATGCTTCCAGAACTGCAGCCGCCATGTGGGAAGATGGGAAGGTTATCTTCATTAGACGGGGTCTAAGATCACCGTCCTTCTTGGCTAGTCTCGTCACATGCTGAGTCAGTATGTGTTTGAGCCCCAAGGACTGTTTGATGAATTTCCATTCCCCGATGTCAGAATTTGATTGAGTAGGGTCTGCATTTTCCGGTATACCTTGAACAATAATGTTTCTTCCGCGGAAAAACTTCTCGCGAGATTCTTTAGGGATGTTTCGTATGATATTGCGCTTAGAGTACGGTATGTCGGGCAATATTCTTACGTTACCATCGGATTTCAGCAAGTGACTTACTAGCAAGACGTCCTCTACGTCGGTAGCAGCCTTAAGTGTTACTCGGAGAAGCCTCGGGTGATTTAGATGCTTAGAATCCTTTCCTCGAGTGAGCCGGGTGACCGTCAAAGGCTCTATTCTAGGAAGTTCGAGCTTCTTGTTCAATTCACCCCAGAGCATCCTGTCGTTTTTGTCCTGCAGACTGAGAGGAAGGTCAGGATTGTCAACGAGGTTCATGATAATCAGAGAATCGTCACGAACTGTCATTAATTTACCAGGTTTCACGATGGGTTCAGGTTTAGTAACTTGTTGTTTGGAGGTCAGTGTGCGTTTTTAAATCTTGGGCTCTTTATTGACCGGATGAACAGTCTTGGGGGTAGACTGTGGGACCGAATCACCAGTTATTTTCCGTGCAGCAACACTTGGGTTGCTCGGCTTAGGCGGTGATGCCTGGTTCTTTTGGGCTCTCTTAACGTGGGTCGAATCACCTGCAGGGTTTTTGGGAACCACTGTTGTGTTCAGGGACCCTGTTTTGTTCCTAGAAATCGAAATACTTGGAAGCAGGAGTGATCGTACAACAAAACACAGGCGTAAAACCGAGACGGCTCGTGTACACAAAGGAAAACGTATTACAAAATAGTTTCATCCATCGTTCTAAAGGTTCAGCTTACGTACAGCAGTTTAAAGTTCAGTCTTCAGTCTTCAGTAATAAGGATAGTAGGTTGATGAACCTGCATTAATTCTGACACACTACTTTCCAGTGAAAGTCCATCTTCTCCTTGAAAGTATTCATTGATGGGGCTGATACCACTTGTTCGGGTAAGGCGTTCCAATGATTGACTATTCGATGACAAAAACGGGACCCCACTTTAAGTTTATTAGATCTTCGTTTATGAACCTTCTTGCTATGACCGCGAAGATTATTATTGCTGTGGGGAGCAAAAAGATAAGACATATTAACACCAAAATCATAATTAAAGATACGAAATGCCAGTATAAGGTCACCTCGTGTCCTACGATACGACAAGGGGAAAAGATTTAGGCGT